TCATGCTGATCATGATGGACAGTTATGACATGCCATTCTTTCATAGGAACTGTGCACACAATAATGTTAACAAGAGAAGCCTATGCAAGGTTCTTTGCTTTATGGTGATCAGTAGAGCCTTAGAGATATTTATAACATGTCATTTAAATTCCCCGGCCTCTTAATAACATGCTTGAACACATTTGAACTCTGGACTTCATACACTTCCCATGAAACTGTTGGTCATGTATACTTTTGAAAGAACATAACCATGATTTCTAAAGAAGCAAAGGAGAAAGCTTACGTCTATGCATTTCCCGGTAAAGAATAGTTAGTGCTTGCAAGGAATTATCATCTGTGGGTTCAAGTGCTGCTACTTCTTGTGCCAGAGCATACGCTTCATCTTGCTTGCCAGTTCTCTGCAAGCCAATTGCCTTCAGAACCTATTGATATAACACAGAGGCAACTGTTAAAAACAAAGTTGGCAGTTACCAGTGAAAATCTTCGCATTCCTCAAGAGGAGAAGGTTTGCCCAAGCACCTAATTACTTCTAGAGAACTTAAGTTTTTAATGATGCTTCTAACCCATATGGCTGTAGTGGAAAATTTCCAAATCCAACTGCATCAAATAGCATGGCTTTTATTTCTTAATACACATGCAGGCCACTAAGGCATCATCTGCAATTGTTTTTCCTACCTGCAGGCTCAAAACTGACCATTCCTGCCAATTTTCATTTTTTCTTTTAACAAGTGGCCAGAGAAAAGTGACATAAGTGAGATTCAGGTCAATGACACTTGCTTCAGCCTGGGAAGCTCCCAAAATGTAGAAGTAATATGAACTATAGAGGAAAATCCATACGGAAAAACAGAAAGATACTCAAGTGTTCAGAAAACTGAGGAACAAAACTCTTTTCCCTTCAGCAGGGGCATAGCAAGGACAGTGAATGAGAAGCAGAAGAGCAATGCCTCAAAAAACACCTTATTATGTTTCACTAAAATTACACCTCCCAAATAAACTACTACACATAGGTACCTCAACTTAAGGTCTCAAAGAGGCATTTTTAAAGGCACAGCTCATCTGCCCTGGTTGCTCACAGTGGCTCTGATAGGGATCTAGACATTTAGCAAGGTGCAGCCACTTACACTAATCAGCAGAGGCACCTCCCTTGGAGGATCTGCAGGATTTTTCAGGCAAACAAAGAATTGCATGAATTAGAATAGTCAGACGTTGCAGAGTGTTCAGAATACACTGCAGTTTCTGGAAGCTCAGACCACAAAAAAGCACAGCAGAGCACTGCAAGTCGCAAACTAGACTCAACCACGAGGTCAGTGAACAACCACACTTACCTTTGCACAGTGAAGATCCTTGTGTTTTTTGAGCAGTTTATCTGCTTGCTGGATCGCCATTTTATTATTGCCATTATCAAGGTAATCTGCATAAGAAGAACACACACAGTATTAGAATACAAAACCATTTAGAAGGCTACCTCTAATTTTACCAAGGGCTACGTGTTGTTAGGGCAGCAGTGCATTTTCCTTGTACTATTCCTAAACCAAACAGTCAGAAAACGTGTCACTTCATAGACTAAGAGATCATCTTGCTGTACTAGTTCTGATCATCCAAACAAACAAGCTTCTGTAATTACTCCACGTAGGTCATCATTCCAACAAAAGAGCTGTATGACAGAGCAGGTTCTGCAGCAATAGCCCTTCACTAGAACTGAGATTTCACTCTTCACTTCAGGAAAAGAAAGAATTAAGTGGGTGTGCTGCTAGGAGATTTTCAATGACTTTTAATGGGCAGTAAGTCAGAAACAACACGCTTGCAATCTATCAAAGTATTAAGTGAGATGAATTGTCCACATGCTCTGTATTTGAGGCAGAGCAAGACTGTCTCCTAACAGAATACCACTGTTGCTTAACCAGAGCAGTTCTAAAGACAAAGAAATGAAGTGGAGATATCCTGCTATCCAGTTGCACAACACTTCAGCTGTAAAAAACAAAACAAAACAAAAAAAAACAAAAAAAAACCAAAAAAACTGCCTTGAGACCACTTTCTCCTTCTTTCAGCTTTGTATTTTAAATTTCAACTTCCCCTACACCACATTATCATATTTCAGACAACTACAAACAAGTACCTTTAGGTTAGAGCACGGGTCCAACACTCTTCCCCTCCCTCAAAAATTAATCCTTATTAACCTAAACCTAGCAGTAAAACCAAGCTGCAGCTCACAAGCCAACAAGGGAAGGATCTGGCCTCTCCCCTAACAAATTATGAGCAGATCTAATACTGAAATATTGAAATTACATTATACATCCTTTTCTCTTCAAGATCGCAGCTCTCATTATGAGATAGAACTCCTAATGAGTCAAGAGGTGACCTTTAGTAGTTCCTCGGTACGTTGTACAAAACGTGCACCTATACTAATGAGATTTATATTCTGCAGCTTTAACGTTTGCTTCCACGGCCAAGTGGTGCAGATTTAAAGTAGAGCTAATTGGACTCCAGAGACCATACAGACAAAACCTCAAATGAGACTGCCTGCCCGCACCAACCAAAACAAAATGTTGCTGTATCACATATTCAGACCACTTGAAACTGTAACACAGTGCCTGGCAACCTAAGGAAACCTGTGCATCACCTTTAACCTTAAAGCTTCAGCAGAGACTTCTCAGTGAAGAGGTTTTAAATATTCTGCAACACAATATCCCAGCAATCTCTCCACGCACAGGCAGAGATTTCTTGATTTAAGGATCCATGTTATAAAGTTCCACTTGCACACAAATTACTCGCCAGGCTGCACTGCCTGCCCTGGAGTTGTTTAACAGCTAGCGGCACCGATAGCATCTCTGCTTTAGGCCTTCTAAAGTAAATCAAATAAACCACAAGCCTCTCTAAGCTGCACAATAAAAGGATTCTGTTTTGCAACAAGGAATAAGTTTGTTGGAAGCCAAAGCAGTTGGCAACTCCTAAAGAAATTCCAACTACAGGAAAAAAATGTTTAAGTCTATGCTAGCTACAAGTCCGCAGGTGGTTACGTTCAATGGCTGCAAATGCAACATGTGAACCTACAGGTGAAGACAGACAAAAAAAGACCAATGGAAAACTCATCTGTCAACGAGCCTCAACTAATCAAGGAACAAGGTGCAAAATGAATAGCACTTTTTTAAAGTAAAAGACCAAACTCTAACCTCATTCTGCACATCTCCTGCCTACAGCCTCTGTGAAGTTGTGCTTCTGCCTGTGTAAGGAGTAGAACCAAAAAGGAATTCTGACCTCACAGAGCAGAAGTAGCAGGAAGATTTTTAGATCTCTCTCATCAACAGCTGTACTCCAAAACCAGTGCAAGGAAATGCCTATCATCTGTGTTAACATCAGTTGTATTGGTTTAAGAACAGACATTACATAATATAGAGCAAAACTAACTGCATGTTAATAAATATGACAATCACAGTACATACAAAAAAAACTGTTAAACTGCATGGCTGCAACCAGTGATGCAACAAACATTAAAACACAGCTCGGCTCAATAAGAAAAGCAATCACAGATCTCCCCTTGGTTTCTCCAGAACTCAACAGATGCAAACCTGAGCCCAGCTGTTCTCCCTGCGAGAGCAGCGCCCAGGCAAAGGGCAGCCCAAGGCAGCAGCAGCTCCCCATGGCCCTGCAGGGAGAGGTACTGAAAGGAAACGTGAGCGTGTACTGGAACTGCAATCCGTTTTGCTGTTTCAGAGCAGGAATGACACTGTAGCCTGGGGAAGCAGATTTTTCTCTTTCTCTGTATTTGCATACACACAGAAACTTGCTAACAAATTCTTAAGCAATCTCAACTGTACGCAACATCCCTGGAAACGTTTTGGGGCAGCTCACCCGAGAGCTTTCCCAACGCTACCGCTCCTCCTAACATAGCTCATCTTCAAATTAATTTCCCTAACAAAGTCATTAGTCTGTGGCACTCAGCACGCAACTTTAAAGCATCCGTGACCGCTCGATCGTTTTCGTTACACGAACGAACCAACCCGTAACCCCAACTCCCCGCGCACAGCGATGCGCAGGGACCAGGCAGCTCCGCTAAGAAACCAAACGGACAGCAAAAGACGGAGGCGCGGGGAGCGCCGAGAACCGCACGGAACGCGGTGGGACGGAGCCCCGAGCCCGGCACACAGCCGGGAGCCCCGGCACCGCGGGGCGGGAGGCCGCAGCGCCGGGCGGAAGGGGCGGCCTGGCGGCACACACCGGGCCCGCTCGCCGCCCGCTCCCCCGCCGCGACCCCACGGGTCCGGTCAGCTCCGCCGGGCGGCGGTGCGGCACGCCGGGCCCGGCAGGGAAGGGACCGCGCGCTCCGTACCGTAGATGGGCCGCAGGCGCCGGTCGTTGGGGTCCTGCACATGGCCCCGCGCCGCCATGATGAGAGCGCAGAACCGCAGTGCGCAGCCGCCGGGCCGGGCCGCGCCGGGGGCGGGGGTAAAAGGGACGGGCGCGCTGCGCTCCGCCCGCCCCGCTGCGTTGTGACATGGCTGCGGGGGCACGGAGCGGGGTAGGGGTGTGTGCGGCGGCAGAGATGGCTTTGGTGCGGTGCTTGTGTTCACATAGCTCGCAGCTGTGCCGAAACGTGTTAGGTCTGAAGCTGCCGTGCCGCGTTAGTTGCTTTATGCTAAGTTAGGCTTTTATATCGCTAGGAGCGCTTGCTCCATCATCTCTGTGCGAGGGTCGTTGGGCTGGTGCGTTGATGTGGCCGTTGGTTGCTCGGTACCACCTGGTGACGTGTGAATGTTAACCTAGACAGCACCAGTATGTAACCCTGATGGGTCAGACTGATTTTATTTCGTTCATAGAATCACAGAATGGTTTGAGTTGGAAAGGGCTCTTAAAGGCCGTCTGTTCCCACTGCCTGCAGTGCACGGGGACACCCACAGCTCCATCAGTGCTCACAGCCCCGTCCCCTGAGCGTGGCTGTGTGCAGGGATGGGGCAGCACCATCTCTCTGGGCACCCTGTGCAGTGCCTCACCACCCCCCATTGTAATCAACTTCTTATATCCAATCTAAATCTCCCTTCATTTAGTCTGGAACCATTTCCCCTTGTCCTATCACAGCAAGGTAGTGCTGAAAAGTCCATCCCTTTCTTATAACCCTACCCTGGCTGGTTCTGCTTCAGTCCCACAGCTGAGGGCTTTCTGCAGCTTATGGCTTTGAGTTTCCCCCTGCCAGGCCAAGTGTGGGTGGGACAAGCTGAGCACAAGCACACGTGTGTCCTCTATGAGCAGCTTCTGGGCTGTGCTGTAAGAGGATTGCAGCCTGGTCTTGGCAAGAGGTCAGGAGCCGTGGTTACCTTTGTGCCAGTGCCCCTTTGTTTGCTTTTGGCTTTAGAAGAGGCAAGGTGAGGCGTTACTTAGGAAGCAGTGCCTGAGCCCAGCCGGGCCCTTACTGTGATGGCCTTGCATCTGCACATCAGTGCTGACCTTGCACTGCACCATCTGCATCTGCACACCTTTCAGTCCCAGCAGCTCTGTGCGATGGCTGCTGCCAGGCATGTCCCGAGACCGCAGTAAATACGTGGGACCTTTTCCTGCATGAATAGGAGATCATGTTTTTGAAATCAGACAGGACAATGTGACACGGTTTCAAACTGAAAGCGGGGACATTCAGACTGGGTAGAAGAAAAATGTTGTTTGCACTGAAGGCGGCGAGGCATTGCACAGGGCGAGGTGGTGGTGCCCCATCCCTGGGGACACCCAATGCTCCGAGCACCGATGGAGCTGTGGACTGGCCCAGGTGAGGGCACTTCAGGAAGCAGCTGTTTTCCTCGGAGAAGGAAATACAAACAAACAACAGACAGAACCCCGCGCTCACAGCCCCATCCCAGGCCGCGCCGCCCCACTGCCCGGTGACGTCTGCGTCAGCCAATCGGTGCCGAGCGGGGCAGAGGGCCGTTTGACCGGTGAACGGCATCCGCCTCACCCAATCGGCTCGCGGCGCGACTCGCTGCTGGCCAATAGAGGGAGGGGGGCGGGCGCGAAGAGGCCGGTAGGAAGCGCGGGGACGGGCCCGGTGTCGGCGGATCGAGGTGTGCGGTGAGCGGGGCCGTTTGGGCGTTAACTCCTGCCGGGCCGCTTCCCTCGCCGCTTTTTTCGCCTCCTTGCTCCGTTGAGGTGAGCGGGGCTCTCCTTGCCGTCCCCGTGAGGCGCCGACTGTCCCGGTCCGGAGCTGAAAGAATCAGTCGTTGGCCGCCTCCGAGACGCGGTGCCCCAGGACGGATCGCTGAGGGCAAAGTGCCGTACCGGGCAGAGCTCCGGGGCGGCTGCTGGGAGCGCAGCCATTGGGGGCGGCTCCGCAGCGAGCAGAAGTGAAACTGCCCGTGTTGTTGTCGCTTTCGATTCCCGGGCGGAGTGCGGCCATGGCTGCAGTCACGGAGGTGCAGACCCAGCTGTGTGGCAACTGGTAAGGGCCGGGACCTGGCGGCGGGGTGGGTGATAACATCGCCTTGGGGTGCTATGAAATGTTAGAAGCTATGAATCAACGAACAAGTCTCTCTAGAAACGGTTGGGTTTTTCTTCCCCTTCCCCTCCCCCCTCTTCTCCAAGTATTAATGGGTTATAAAGCAGTTTTCCCAACCATTACTTGAGTTCCTGAATTACCAGGCAGCTATCACAGCAGTCCAGTAAAAACAAAAGCTTGATTTGCTGTGAGGAAGACACGGAGGATGTGATTCAAAGCTTTTCTTGACACATGTTTTTAGGAGGCAGAGATGCAAAAGTAGTCAGTATGTACATGTTGATGTGGCAGTTGTGTCTCTTTGATAAGCTAGCTCTCTTCAGGAGCTCCAGCATTGGTCATATGTTTACTGATAATGGTGTAGTTCTCAGAAGTTGCGTATTAAATACAAGCAGCTGAACAAACATGCATTTTTTTCTAAGAGAGACATTGAAATCTGAACAGTTTCTTGCAGTGTTAGTCTAGGTTGTTTGCCAGAAGTACGTGCAGTTCACACACTGCTGCTGGACCACACTGCTTTGCTGGGCTGATTACTTATTGGTGCCTGACAAAGGAGAAAACTGCACACCTGCAATGTTTTTCCTTGTGATACGGAAGGGTGCAAAGCAGTAGGCAGTGAAGGTAAAGATCTGGTATAACACAGTTGGTTAATTAAATTTTCCAAGCAGAGCAGTGCTGGACATCTTAGAGCCAAGTTGCTTTTGGGAGGGAACTTTTATTTTTTCAGACAAGTCTGTTGAAGTTGGTGATAACTTGTATATGCTGTTATATTTTTCTTTCACACAAAGAAATGGATCAACCTTGAACTTTCATGCTGCCTTAAGATAAATTGTGACCTCTGCACAATATATATATTGCATTGTAACATAGGAACACTGGTTGGGCTTGTCTTTCTCTTTAGTTTCTTGGCTTTCTAAACAGGAAAATCATAGAAAGCTTTCCTAGGGGTTTTTCTTTGTAAATAAGTACTTAAAATTGTTGTCAAGTTGCTTTCTGAGAAATTATCTCTGTGATTTTCTCATAGCAAAAAGAATATTCCTGCTGCTAACTTCACCATTCATGAAATCCACTGTAGCAGAAATCTTGAAGTTTGCCATTACTGCAATGAATCAGTCCCAAAGGCTGAGATGAAGAACCACATTGATTCTGAACATGTGCAGGTGATGGCAACACTTCTCCCCTAAAGTTGCTGATTTCTGTGGCATCTGATCTAATGAGGTCTGTTTATTGTAGGTTACCTGCAAGTGCAGTATGAAGGTTGAAAAAAGCCTCTTGGAGGATCACGAGGTTGGTGTACCTTGTATTTACACGCACTTGGGAGATTCTGCATGGTATTTCCAAGTGCTGTTCCTAGGGTCCTTCTGTCAGCCAAAACCTGGATTCTAGCCTGCATCCCTTTTATTTAATGCTTTCTAAATTCAAGTTCTCTGAAAGAAGCTGTGGGAAACTGCTTTCTCAAGCCTTCCTATCAAAGGATTATCTATGATAATTAGTAATTTGATCCTTATTAGTGATCAAGATGAAAAATGGCAAAGGACCTCAGTTTCTTAAAAACTAACTTTCATATTTACTATGTGAATCAGCTGTTAAAGCATTACAGATGTAAAAGGAATGCTTTGGATACTGGTAGTGCTTCAGTTGACAGCTTTCTGACTACACAGGTTATACAATGGTATTGTTCTTATGTTTCTTGTATAGTATTTTATTTCAGGTTGCTCTTCAGTGTAGCTTTGTATCTAGCTAAAGAAACAATAGCAAGCTCGACTTAAGTAAAGTGAGAACCTCCATCTACCTTTGCCTCCATCTTCCATGTGTGAAGAATAATCCCTTCTTCTTTTTTTAGACATTGGCGTGCCCTTTGCGTCCTGCAGTCTGCCAGCATTGTGACATCCAGCTTACTTTCAATAAGCTTCAGGATCATGAAAATTACTGTGGAGCTAGGACTGAGATGTGTAGTGATTGTGGCCTTAACGTAATGGTAAAAGATCTAAAAGAGCATCCCCAAGTCTGTGGGAAAGAGGTGAAGCGAGTAAGCAAAACAGTGCCTCGCTTTGAGGGGGAGGATGCAGGTCTGCGTTCCCTTCGAGACATTAGAAACCAGCTAAGATCGGATAACTGTGCTGGGCCTTTGTGGAGAATGCCCAGGGCACTAGAAAGGCAGATCTATAGCAACTGTGTAGGAGACAGAACACTTAAGGACATTAGCAGAAGAAATGTTTCAAGAACACAAAGAAATCAAAATCAAGGTAAGGTATACATGAAAGCAATAACTCATTTTTAATCTGATGTTTGCCGAGTGATCCAAGTAAAAGATTTATGTGAAACTAAGTAAGAAAAGCTAAGAGGCAGTGAGTGTGGCACTATGTGGAACAGAGCTGCGAAAGTATGAACCTAAATGGAGGACTTCTGAGGTAGCTGGTGTGACGAAAGCCCAGTATATTGCCTGTGCTATCACCTCAAGAAGTATCTGCCTTAAAAATGGCACTGGAATTGTTTGCTCACTTCAAATTCTTTTGATTTTTTAATTTAGCAACTCCACTCTTCCTTTAAGTAGAAGGCTAGGTAAGATCTGTATGTAGTTCACATATGTAGTGCTGAGCATTTCTGCAGTAACAGCCTGTCTGGACATAGCTGACACTATTATAAATGCCTCTGCTTGCTCATAAGCCTCTAATCTCCCACCTCTACGTGCAGAGGGTCGTGTCACATTTAAGACATGCCCTTTCCATGAGATCTCTGCTGAACGTGTGCTCTGCTTTCTGTTGGGGGCCACTTGGAGGATTTAACACTGCAAAGTACTACATTCCAGTCTTTACCATAAAAGACTGTCTGGCTTGCAGAAATAACTTCAGGGGTTAGTTAATGAAGCTAAATGCTTGGAGAACTGTAACTTGTCCACTTGTATGAAAATCTTATTATGAGCATTCTTTAGAATTCAGTACATGTGTAAGCTTTCTTTAATATTCTCATGTAATTGAGATGAATGAAATGCTGGAGATATTTGAAATATGCCAGCATGGGGAGGAGCTTAGCCTTCCTCTAGACATCATCTGTTCAGTCTTGGGCCCTATTTTGAAACTGTGTTTTTTGTTGTTGCTGTTGTTGTTTGCTTGTTTTTTATGTATAACTCTACTACCAGGAAACATTTCATCATTTTCTTCTGTATGTGTATAATCCCCATTTGTCAAATGTAGCATCATTAAAAGGAATTAGTTTTCCCATTCATACATTAAAGAGACAAGGTTGAAATGTTCCAGCCTTCAGGAAGGAGTAGATGACAGTATTAGAATTGAACCTTGTTCACAAGGTAGGATACAGAACTTCTCTCTTTAAACTTGATAATGCTTGTAAGGGGAACAACTTTTTCTTTTTTTTCTCCTCTTTTTGGTTGTTACAAACAAAAATAGGATGAATGTTTTCCTTCTTCCCAGTTTGATACAGGGAATGTCCTAGGCTTTGAAATACTGAACTCCATGAGTGTCCACATGTGAAAGACTCTTGGTTGAACTAGAATAATGTGCTTAAGTAATCGTTGCAGGTTTAACATTACTTAAAATTTATATTCATCTTTTGAAGAGTATGGACTGGAGCAGCTGGAGAGAAATAAAAACACTAACTCACTTTATGAAGAGCAGAATGCCAATTTAGACCACATGTTGGCTCTTAGCCTTCAGAACGAGAATAATCCTCGCAATAATACTGCAGCAAAGACTCACAGGGACGTCTGGGAAAACCACTATGCCAAAGAGTTTGTGCCATCTTCCTGTCCCAGTGAAACAGACAACTCAAATACCTTTCCTTATGACTCCTTACTGTCTTTGAACACTTCAAACCACATGAAATGTAAGTATAAATACTGTATTTTTAAGTTTGAGAGAGAAAGAGGATTCCTGGATTCAGAGTATCAAAGATCATCTAAGTAGATCAAAGTGAAGCTCTTTGAGACTCCCTCTAAATAATTGTTAAATAATTAATAATAGCTTAGGCATGCCATTTCTTCCTTAAAATTTGTCTTCTATTCCCTCAAAAAACAAACAAACAAACAAAAAAAACCAGTAATACCTCTTTGAACAGGAGTAAAGCAAGACAGCAGGGGAGGAAGGATTAAAAGGTGTAGTGGAGCTTTGACCTTGATATGTTCATCCAGAAGTTCTTTTCAACTTATAACGGTTTAGAATAATACAAAGATAAGTACTGATATTATTCCAGGGATGAAAAAATGCCTTCAGTTCTGATTGAAACACTGGTGTACCTTTAGAAACAAAATAAGTGCCTGTGCCCATCAGTGGTTAGGGATTCAAAACAACAAACTTCCTTGCTGCCTCCATCATGTTTATTCAACATCTGCTAGAGACCTGAAGTGCCAATTTAATTTGAAAGGGAAAATGGTACAGAGGGATTTATCTGAGACTTTAATAGACTTTTGTACCAAACTGTTGACCCCAAAACATTGTTCTCTCTCTGATATGGATTTACTCGCAAAACTCAACAAGTGGGACTACAGTAACTATTACCTTACCATTTGCTTTGGGTGCTGTTCTGTGCTACAGAACAGGAGTTGATTGCTTAGGAATTTTGAATCTAAGTTGATCCAAATGCAGCCAGGCTCTTTATGGTAGAGGATATAACCATTATTGCTTTGCAGGTGATGAGATCATGTTGCCGTGTGAGTTTTGTGAGGAGCTCTACCCTGCTGAAGATCTGATTCTTCATCAGGTTTAGTACTTCTTTGTATTGTATCTAGGAGCTTGCAGTTAAGACTTGTTTGTTACTGTGACTGAACAAAGGTGCAGTGTTTGCTCAGTGATACAGTTAAAATCTAGTAATTTTATCTTTGCTCAGCATTAATTTTAAAACCCCTGTGTGCTAAATGACATAGCTAACTTCTCTATGTCGCTTGCTTAACAGACAGGTTGTAACCCAGCAAGTGCCTTTGCCTCCTTCAGTAAAAGAAGTTCTCTGGATCCACAAAAACATGATGATCTGCCTAATATTGGGTACAACAGCTGTAGATCTGATTATTCATCCTGGTACCCAGCTGTCCAGGAAGAAGCAAACATTATCATTCCCTGTGAATTTTGTGGCATTCAACTAGAAGAGGAGATACTTTTTCATCATCAGGTAATAAACAGACATCTGTGCTGTCACATCTACTTCAAGAAGTTTGCCAAGTTCTGTGTCCTTTTGGAGTGGAATATTTTGGGAATCTGTGTAACTGTCCTCTCTGTCAGACCTTCTTAAGTAAAGCCTATTGGTAACAGCTAAGCTGTTGTGGTATGCTGGGGCCTCTACTGGGGAAAAAAAAACAATTGCTTTGAAAGTTCTTGTGAAAACTAAAGAAAGGGCCATGAGATTACACAATATGAATGTTTGATTTACATGTGGAAGTTGCACTGAAACCAAACTGTATGAATCACAGCTGAGGTGGGAGTGGAGCACTAACTTGTGTAGATAGAGGGAAGAGGTAGGCAATGCAGACTGCTGTCAGGGTGATACTGGGAACCTGATCAGACTTACAGTGACAGTAGTTCAGGGCTGCTTGCCACATGCTTGGGACTTGCTTTGCAGTCATCTCTAGGTGTGAGGTAGAACACTGAGGAACAGTGCTTGTTGGTTGGCTGGCAGCAATACCCTAGGTGCAGGGTGGCTGTGTTTGGCAGCTCTGGCTGGTGATGGCAGTTCCATTTTTTTTTTTTTCCTTAGGGCCTGTGATAACAAGTAACTGTTCCTAGGTTATGTGTGTAAGAGAAAGTGTGGGTGTCAGCAAGCCAGTATCTGCCTCTTCTAAAAAAACAAATCCGTAATAACCTTAATCTTCTTGAAGGGCAATGCTCTGCAATGTTTTTACAAGAATAATTTGAAAGACCTGTCATTTAAATACTCAAATTAATGATTTGCTTTAGGATCAATGTGACTTGCGCCCAGCCACAGCCAACCCAGCAGACAACTTTCCATCACAGCAGCCACCATCTCCTCGAGACAACAGAGAGAGGAGAGAATCACCAGAGCTGGCTCGGAGGCGAATCAGGCATCAAGGTGTGGGCAAAACAGACGTGGATGTGTTGCTTTCCTTTTCGCTTGCAGGGACATTGTGTTCCAAGCTGAATACACATTCTTAGCCTTTTCTGTCTCCAAAATGTAAGCATTCTACCTTCTACCATTGTTCTAGTTCTGTGCAAGAAAGATTAAATTCTGAAACACAGTATCCCGAGAAATCTCTTTTTTTTTGAAATCCTATACTGCTTGAATGGAAGTTAGGTGTAGTTCTGCTATCTGAATGGATGTTGCATTTACTGTTCCTATTAAGTTCCCCTTTGTTTTTTTTTTCAGGAGATGTTTCTCCTCGGTGCATAGAAGGCTTCAGGCAGCAGAGGCTCAATTGTCCTGCTCGAGGGAACAGGGCACTGAGTAATGCAGCAAATGCCAGGAATGCACCACTGACCTCTTCTGGTACTGTGAGAACTGGTGATGCTCTAAACTCGAGAGGGAAGCCAAGGAAGGTGGCTGGTAATGAGGGAAGGCTGAAGAACAGAGATACAGGTGAACCTGCCGGTGGGGCAACACCACGTGTGAGACCTACTCAGAACCTTCATTCAGAAACCTTCACATCCAGCTTGTCCAGAACTTCTCCAGTCCAACCAAGGTAATATCTTGCTTGCTGAGGTGTTGTCTTAAGTTTCAGCTAAAGAGCAGCTGCTCTAGGCCTGCCCTAAACAGCAAGGGAACTGTGGTGCTGCAAGGGCAGAAATCATTGTGCCTTTATGGCTCAACGCTTACTTTCTTTGCTGTTTAATCTACCTTGAATTATCACTAGGCTGAATTAGATGTGGTCTTTCTTTAAAAATCTACTGTACACTTATGTTACTGAAATGCTTAAGGGCAATTGAATAGAGAGCTTAGTTCTTCGCTACAAAAATAACTGCCTTAAGATTCAGAAGAATGCAGGGCTTCTTCCTCGAGCTTCTAAACTTCCCATGTGGAGGGACTGCTTATTCAGCAGTGACAGGGCTGAACTCAGTTGACTTGCTTCATATGAAAGCATCTCTGCTTTTTTTCTACAGCATCAGAAATGAAGGAGGAAGGAATCTGGGGATGTCAGATGTTCCAGCTGGCTTCAGGAACAGGAAGGCGAAGGTAAGGCAGCCAGAACCTGATAGGAGGTTGGTGCTTTGCTCTATGTCCTGCACTGTTTCAGAGTACAACAGCTAGCTCTTCAGTCTTTTCAGTGTACAAATGTTTACAAATGTTAAACTGTTTAGGTGCTCCTGACTTGTTTGCTGCTTGCTTGGCTCATTCTGCTGAATGGGACTGCTTAGGAAGAGCAAATGTTTCCTAGCAGTTAGCCCTCAAGTCGGTGCCTAGATGAGATGGATATATTTGCCTCATTTTGTGATGAGTGTTGCTGGGATGATGAGCTACTTGCAGTCCTTCCTGCTTCAGCAAGGTTTTTATCAGTAGTTTTTTAGCTAATACCTTTTGAAAGCAGCCTTTCTTTTTTATCCCCCCTCCCTTTTAGGCAAAGCCCCAGAGCCCTGAGTCTGGCTATCCAGAGGAAGAGTGATCCACATATGAAAAACTTATCTAGCACTCTACGCGCTCCACTATGCACTATAGTACTTATTTATCTGAACGCAAGTAATTGCTATATTGCCATGTCATTGAAAACTTTATATGAATTCAAATTTTTATGGGCAGTGATCATTTTATATATGTATTTTTTAATTTGTGAGTGTATACTACAGGTTTTTACTTCTGTGATCAACACTAGCAACTTCCTAAGATACGTATTTGCTAATATGCTTCTACTGAGGGAACCATATCATCCCTGTTTCCATACTAGCTTTTTGCAGCATCCACTGAAGAGAACTACTTTTGTCATACGCATCTCTAGGCATGTTTCCTGCTTGCTCAGTGCTAGTTATTCTGAAGGCAGCAGCGCTATAAAGAAAAGCAAAGCAAGCTCTCAGCCAGGACTAGGTGGGGGACAAGGGGAAGCAGTATCTTGTCAGAGCCCTCTATGCAATGCTCTGTGCTGGCATATGGGGGAACACCTAGTGCTGTAGGGGGGCTGGTCTGTGGGCACATTGAATCTGGCTGCTTAGAGTAGTGAGCAGCTGAAAAGAGGGGGACAGGGTGCTACTGCTACCTTGCAGCTTCCTGTTGTACCTCTGGATAGACCCTGCAGCACAGAAGGCAGCTGCACATATTCCAGTTTGTTACCTGAAGGGCTGAGGGCATGGGGGATCATGACTTCTTTAGTGGATGAGCTCTAATCCCAGGATTGTGTGACAAAATGCTTTTTAATGCTGTATTAGTCAATGCTTTTTAAAACTCCTTGTAATAAATTTATCTAATGTTATAATGAAACATTGTGCACTGAAAATCTTAATTTAAGTGGTATTACACCCTCACAGAGCATTTGCAAACCCTTCTGCAGTAAGTTTTATCACTACAGGCTTAATGATGCCAATTCATCAATTTATGTTCTATGAATATTACCTGCAGGTCTTTGTCAATTTGCTTTATGAGAGCTGTTAGCATCCCTTCTGTTTGGCACAGCATAAGGGAATTGATGATGCGCAGCCTGCAGTAGGCAGGCCTTAGATAATAGCTTTAGACTGATGCCCAGTCATTAACTGTGCACAGCAGTTGGTATTAGCAGCAATAATTAGCTAGGTGCTGTTGTAGGGCATGACAGCAGTAGCATACAAGGGAGAAGACTAAAGGTGGCTGAAGTGGTCTCAGTTCTAAAACAAAGACACGTTAGGAATGCTTCCACCCCATGTAAGCATTCATTTATACAAGAGAATAAAGGTATTGAAAAACAGGTGGTAACCAACCTTGCACTGACATTTCTGAGGAGAACTGCTAAGATAAGGGCAGCTAGTCTGGCTATTCTGTTGTGTGAGAAAGGTTGTAGGCTGCCTTGGTTCAAACAGCATGAAAAAGATAAAAGTACAGAGCTGACACTATGGTTTACAGCACTATTTCTCATGCTTGAGAAATAATGTAAACTAGCTCAACTAAGAGAAGTATTAGCAATCATTTTACTTTACCTTTTGTAAAAGTACTTAATTTGGTGAAGGTAAACACAAATTACAGAGAATTAACCTATAAAAGTGGACTTTAAAGCAGAAAGCCTACAACTTCATTTTTAGTAGTTCTAATCCTCTTCATCAAGGCAGCAACATCATTGGAGGATTACTTTAATTTCCAGCCCCCAAATAAGGACACAATACATCTAGAGGGATGTTAAGAATCTCCTTTATGCAAGTGTACACTGTATGGCCAAGAGCACTTAACAGGTTAATGCTGTGTACGGTACCAAGATGGACACACACCAAGCTAGAACTAATACCCAGCTTCAGAGTTTTTCCATTGTTTAGTATAACTTTACATTCTGAGTATATATAAAAAAATCACAAACCAATCTTTGTCTTGACAAACAAGCCTATTACAGACAATCTCAAGTTCATTTAAAGCACAAGAAAGTAATGATGATTAGAAAAGCTTTAATTAAAAGGTCATTTGTGCTACAGTCAAACCACTGCAACACTTCCCCTCCTTGTAACTTAAAAACAAACAACCTGTCCTCTTGAAGGGATTACACCATTCTTCAGAAAAAAAAAAGTCAGTGAAGGTTATTTATTCATGTGACAATTTTCCTGTATAAGAAGCTTCATTTACACAGCAAGGTGTAAACAGCATTGACTAAGTTTGTTATTTGTATTCATAAATAATTAATTGTAATAAATATGTATCAAGTAACTTTACAGCAGACTTTTCAGGGCCAAGATGCAGATATGTTCCTTTCAAATGTGCTCTTTGGAAGGAGAAGACAGACAATAGCAGCAGTTATCTTACAGCTGTAATCAGAGCCTTGGAAACCATTGGCATACTGAGTTCTCAAACACCTGCACGTGAGGTATTTGCAAGTCCACTTGAAGTGCTGAGGGCCTGAAATGGGAGATTTAAAACCAACGCAGAAATTGCAATTCAATCATCAGAAAGAAACCCCAAACATCTCATTGTCAGCAACAACAGTTCTCTCATGAAAGTCAGATGATGTCTTCACAATTCCTTGTGGCACCTGTCTGAAATACACATCTGAAATAGGAACAAAATGGCTCCAGCCATTTGTTCTGCTCAGTTTTCCCCTTGATCACTGTAAGCTCAGTGTGTGTTTGCCTTTATTCTGAATAATTTCTCAGCTACCTGTATGCTTCTACCAGGAAATGGACAAGATTCAGGAGTAAATATTCTTACATGTAACTGTTCCTTTGAAAAGGGACGTACGCCATAGAAGGGAACACAGCTTTCCTAACCACAGGAGTTGGAGACTCTGTATGCCAACAACTATCTCTACAACTGTTGCACACACATTTTTCCATTCGCTCACAGAAGAACAAGAATGTACACACTTGTTCAGGCTTTTTCTCTCTTACTCACATATTATCTTCCAAGTATCACACACTCATCATTCCCAATATTCACAGTAATATACAATAAATACAGCTTTTTCAATTCCCATTACCACTGACAAGCCAAATTAGTGTATGCTGTCTTCTAAAGAGACAAATAATACCCACCTTGAAGCACAGTTACACACACACCATCATAGACCTTTCATGTGGTTGATGTGCACAAAGCACATCGGAAGAAAAATAAATAACTTGTAGCTCAGTACTGGCACTTAACTTACATATAGCACCGAGCCGAGTAGCACAGCAGTAATTTCAGTGTGTTCTCTTCAGTTCTTCAGCACGCAGGTAATTCTCACTTGGGTCTGGCTCAAAGTGATTAACAAAGCAATGCCTTAATTTTAAATGCACCCACTACAGTGCAACACTGTTTTTACATGAGAAAAGGTAGATGTGCACGTTGATGGGCTGTTTTGAAACCACTGCAGAACACGCCTTGTGACACACCGAAGCTTTGAGAACCGTTCTCTCTCTGTAACCTACCAAGATTTGTGAATATACAATAGAAGCTCTACCTTCCAAACAAGCAACTTTGTGCCTTGCCCTTCACCTCATACTCCTTTCAAGTGTCACATTTCTAGGATAACTTGCTCTCAGAGATCAACCATTTTTGAGTACAAATGAGTTAAGAGTTTCACCCAGTGCTCGTCAGGCCACCCTGCAGTACTGTGCCCAGTTCTGGTCTCCACAGTCACAAAAGTCACATAAGATGAGGACAGACTGGAAAGGGTGCAAAGTTGGTCCACAAAGACCAGAGGGCTGAAGATCCTGCCTTAGAGGAGAGCCCGAAGGAGTCAGGTCTTCTCACTCAAGAGGAGACTCAGGCAGGACCTCACCACTATTCCAGTACTGAAAGGGTGCCTGTAGAGAGGTGGAGGCTCTCTCCTCAGAAGGAGCCACATGGAGAGGGCTGGGACAACAGGTACAAGCCGCACTGGGAGAGGTTTCATCTTGATATAAGAAAAGAATATTTTACAGTGAGAACAATCACTCAGGTACAACTTCCCCAAAGGCACGGCAGCATCCTTATCAGTGGATGGCCAGGGCACGGGACATCTCAGCCAGGCTCCCCATCCCCACAGCAGGGCAGGAGGTCCCTCCAATCTGGGCTGCTCCGAGTCTGACTGTGATTCTCCGATTATTCTGAAAGCTCGTTTGGAAAGAGGATAAAGTCACAGATTATAAGCTCATATCTTAAGCCATACAGAGAGAAGCCATTTTGTTTCTGCTAATATTTTAATTACAATGATGAAATTATTTGTTACTAAGCAAAGCAGACATTCAAGAACATCTAGGGCAAGAACGCCACTGAGTTATGTTCCTTTTCATGGTTCTTTCACTTACAAACTTTCCTAATCAGAAGAGTCAAGCTGAAACCCCACGTGAATTGTGGCAGCTACCTGTGTGCTTGCTTAAAGTTAAAAAGTTACAAGAAAATGGTGGAAATGTAAACATGCATTTTGGCAGCGTGTTTTCTGCTCTAAAACCCAAGAAGTGCAAGAAGCCCTGCGTGTCCTGCAGCTGGGAGAGAGAGGCAGTGCTGTACCCAGCTCTGGCTGGCAACCAGCAGCAACCTGCTCCCATGCTAGATTCCTTCCACTCTGTACTCAGAAATGCTTCACAGGAGAGAGATCTATGAGCCTTTACCTCAGAATTCTCTCAGCCTCAGAACATCCTCACTTTAGTTGTGTTCGCGTGGGTAATATCATTCTGAATTAGAAAATTAGAAATGTACATGTTTAAAGGTTTTTCAAAATTAAATTATACACAAACTGGTCTTTACTAAACTATCCTACAAATATTCCACAAACAAGGAAGCAAAATAACCAGTCCACCACAAAATCTACAAATACAAAATGTAAGTCTTCCAGTAATTATTGTAACGGGAACAAAAGTTCACAAAATAAATTAACCTCCAGCTATCACACAGTGTTACAGGAGGTGTCTTTATGCGAATGGAAGGGTTTCCAACATTAGCAGTCATGAAAGAATCCAGGGCCACCTCGAGGCATCCCCTGTCCTGCTCAGCCACTGAGAGGATCCTCCCGGTAGTGGATGGCGTAACGGAGCTTCTCCAGCATGATGTCCAGTGATGAGTACTGAGGAAGTTTGATCATGAACATGCACGTTTCCACACGGATGTACCGAGAGTCTGGAGAACCTGAGGGGAAAGAAGTGCCAGGAGCCTGAATGCACCTGCTGCTTTTTGCCTTGTTCCCCAAAAGCATCCCTCCCTATGCTTGATACTAACAAATATCAAAAGAACAAAATTCTTCTTAATGAATCTTAATGATTCTTCTCCTGGAAGAATCTTTGTAAGAAGTACTGGAAGCTTAAGAAGTACTGTAACTCTGCACAGCTCTGAAGCTGATTTTCTGACAGTTCTATTGCTTTAAAAGGCATACAAGACAAATATCTGCCTTCTAGAGACTAAAGACGTGCGAAGCAGTTTTAATTTTCATTATAACTTCTGCAGAATTACATGTTTTAAAAACAGGTTATCTTTTCTTACAGCCACAATTATATGCGTCTTGCAGCAATTATTTGCACTTTAGATTGTTTTTTAATTAAAAAAGGAGGAATTGAGGACTACGATCATGTTGTAAGCAGAACTGATGTTGTTGTAAGAGACAGCAGACAAACCCACCTGCAGCTCCATCGGGGGGAGCTATTTTCATGGGGTAAGGCGGGACGTGGGCAGTATCAGGACCCCCATCCTTGCAAGGACACGTGAAGGGAATTCGCTCCTGGTTGCAGGCAAACTTTATGAACTTGCAGAGCTCCTCCTGAGTGAACATCTCCAGTGCGCTCCAGAAAAACTCAATGTGCTGATCAGTTTCCATCAGTCCCACCTGGTACATGGTGTGTGCCTAGCAGAGAAAAAGC